TGCTTGCAATTCTTTTGAGTATATGCTTAGGAGTGGAAATGCTGGATCATAAAATAATTCTATATTTAATTTTTTGAGGGACTGCCAAACTTTTTTGCAGTGAGTCATATGTATATCTGCAGTTCAAAAATTAAGCATTTAAAATTAGCTGCAATGGGATACTGAAACATAGATATAAACTAAAAAGGGTGAGAATGAATCACTCATACGTGATTTACTGTAGTATATATAAATACCCCCTCTCAGGGGGTGGGGAAGGACATGGAATTGACATTGGCATTAAAGCTTTTTAATCTGAACTTGCTAAGAAATATTATAGAGCAAAGAATTTCCTAAGAGCTTCTCTAAATACAGAATTCAATAAGGAATCACAAATAAGCTACTGCCGTAACAATGACGCCATTCTTACAAGATACACGAATAAAGTAACTAGGGCAATTTTGAAGTTTCTCACAGTTTACTATTTAGGCCTCTAGATCATATTACTAAATGGGAATAAACTTTGTACAGAAAACACAGAAATATGTAATTTAACATTTTATATAAAGAAGGATAAAGATCAATGTAGTAAAAGAAAAATGCCAAAACACACAAGATTGGGAAAGTAGACAAAAGTACTGATGAAGTATCTAAGAAAGACTGTGATCCTTTCAGTGAAACACTATCACTCTTTGAACAAATCAAGTCAAACTGGTAGCAAGTTAAAAGATAATTAATGCAACTCTACCACCTTAGTCATAGCCAACACACACCTACCTGGCTTTGGCTTGGGTCGTACGTTTTCTGCGTCATCCCCATTAATGGTTACTGTCACGATGTGTGTGGTACAGTTCGACAAACCTGGGTCCATGCATACAGCTGTGGAGAGAGGTGACAGACCATCTTAAACCAGGCACAGACTTCGGTCCCTTTTGTCATTTGTTTCGCTCCTCAAATGTCTTAGGAAGAAGACAGGGCTCGTGATTCACAGCTGGCACAGAACAGATGCGGGAAACTACAGTTCTCACGTTCAGTCAGCACACGCCGCAGGACTGCAAAGCATTTATGTGCCAAGTACTCCTGTTTCTCCTAGAGTTTCTGAGTCAAGTCTGGTAAGTCTGAGGGGTTAGATGGTACTGACAAGTTATCAAATCCTTTCACCACATCAAATAAACAAATCATCTGGTGAGGAACACGGGGATGAGGTGGGTAAGTGATACCGCTTGGGGTGCGGGCAATTGTGAAAGGCAACTTAATAATTTCCTAACTGCCCCCCCAACTTCAGGTCCTTCTTGCCCCAAGTTACTCTCATGGGGAGGAGAGATGCACTCACAGATGGTGACCAACCCTAATCTAGGATGTCTCTTCAGTGAATTAGCCAAAATAAAAGCCATGTGAATTCTGACCATAAAGAATATCCAAATAATCAATCCCTTTACACCCAGAGGAGTCTATTGCTTGGTGAATTTTCAAGAGTTTGTCCTCAGGTGCACCTGGAGCGCAATACCAACCTGGAGAGCATTCAGCAACGTCACCTTTATAGCCAGTTTCTTCCTCAAGCTCCCGCAGAGCAGCTGCTTCTGGGCTTTCGTTTTCATCTATGAGACCTGCAAGTGCAAATCATTTGCAAGTTGGGACAGGGAAATCCAATCTTCTTTGAACCTCTCGTTCTTCTAACATACTTGCTGCTGAGCTACATTAGAAAATCAGAGCACGTAGAGAGAGTGGAAAGCACTTTTTAGAAAGGATACTCTTCTAATAAAAAATAATAAAAAAATACGGCATATAACATTTAAACACTCTCCCACCAGGTGCTTTGCCTACATTATCCCATTTTACACAGCAAGTATAGACACCTCAAATATTTGCTGAAGGACTATTGGTAACCTCTCCTTTCAGTTATACTCTTCACAAAGGACCATCTGACACACTAGCACATTCAAGGAAAACGTAAGAGACAGCTACTTACACCTTTCCGTCCCTACAGACTGAAGATTTACAGACTGCCTTGGGCTAGTTAGCGGGACATAATCTTGACCATTCTGTAGGAAAAAAGCCTCTAAAGTCTTTCACTTGACACAGAATGTTTGCTTGTATTTGCAAATCTCTGCCACCCGGAATGGAAAATTAGTACTGGTCAACTCCAGTTTTACTACAACAGTTTCTAGGTATTTGACTTTAATGATACGCAGAGGATAAAGAAATGGAGTTATATTTAATACCCCACTTGCTGGGATGGGCGCAGGGGAAATGGAGGGAGTTGGGTGTCAATCTTGAGAATGCTTACCATCAATTCTCTTCAGCAGGTCATTCTTTGGTAAAGAAATTACTTCCACAAACTCTAAACAAACAAAGTACACGTGAAAACAAAGCTAAAGGACACGGTCCTACCAAAACAGCCGCAGATGCCTGCAGCCATTACCACTACACTAAGCCATACACACAGTCAGCCGCTGGAGTTGAGTAACATACCTCCATCCCCTGAAAACAAACAGAAGGAGAACATTTTAGCAAGGCCTCAGTGGTAATACACTGGAACACTTTTAAGCAATTCTTTTTTTTTTTTAAGATAGGGTCTCGCTCTGTCTCCCAGGCTGCAGTGCAGTGGCATCGTCATAGCTCACTGTAGCCTCGAACTCCTGGGCTCAAGTGATCCTCCTGCCTCAGCCACCCTAAATAGCTAGGACTATAGGTGTGTGTCACCATGCCTGGCTAATTTTTTTATTTTTTGTAGAGACAGGGTCTTGCTATGTTGCCCAGGCTGGTGCTTGCAATTCTTTTGAGTATATGCTTAGGAGTGGAAATGCTGGATCATAAAATAATTCTATATTTAATTTTTTGAGGGACTGCCAAACTTTTTTGCAGTGAGTCATATGTATATCTGCAGTTCAAAAATTAAGCATTTAAAATTAGCTGCAATGGGATACTGAAACATAGATATAAACTAAAAAGGGTGAGAATGAATCACTCATACGTGATTTACTGTAGTATATATAAATACCCCCTCTCAGGGGGTGGGGAAGGACATGGAATTGACATTGGCATTAAAGCTTTTTAATCTGAACTTGCTAAGAAATATTATAGAGCAAAGAATTTCCTAAGAGCTTTTCTAAATACAGAATTCAATAAGGAATCACAAATAAGCTACTGCCGTAACAATGACGCCATTCTTACAAGATACACGAATAAAGTAACTAGGGCAATTTTGAAGTTTCTCACAGTTTACTATTTAGGCCTCTAGATCATATTACTAAATGGGAATAAACTTTGTACAGAAAACACAGAAATATGTAATTTAACATTTTATATAAAGAAGGATAAAGATCAATGTAGTAAAAGAAAAATGCCAAAACACACAAGATTGGGAAAGTAGACAAAAGTACTGATGAAGTATCTAAGAAAGACTGTGATCCTTTCAGTGAAACACTATCACTCTTTGAACAAATCAAGTCAAACTGGTAGCAAGTTAAAAGATAATTAATGCAACTCTACCACCTTAGTCATAGCCAACACACACCTACCTGGCTTTGGCTTGGGTCGTACGTTTTCTGCGTCATCCCCATTAATGGTTACTGTCACGATGTGTGTGGTACAGTTCGACAAACCTGGGTCCATGCATACAGCTGTGGAGAGAGGTGACAGACCATCTTAAACCAGGCACAGACTTCGGTCCCTTTTGTCATTTGTTTCGCTCCTCAAATGTCTTAGGAAGAAGACAGGGCTCGTGATTCACAGCTGGCACAGAACAGATGCGGGAAACTACAGTTCTCACGTTCAGTCAGCACACGCCGCAGGACTGCAAAGCATTTATGTGCCAAGTACTCCTGTTTCTCCTAGAGTTTCTGAGTCAAGTCTGGTAAGTCTGAGGGGTTAGATGGTACTGACAAGTTATCAAATCCTTTCACCACATCAAATAAATAAATCATCTGGTGAGGAACACGGGGATGAGGTGGGTAAGTGATACCGCTTGGGGTGCGGGCAATTGTGAAAGGCAACTTAATAATTTCCTAACTGCCCCCCCAACTTCAGGTCCTTCTTGCCCCAAGTTACTCTCATGGGGAGGAGAGATGCACTCACAGATGGTGACCAACCCTAATCTAGGATGTCTCTTCAGTGAATTAGCCAAAATAAAAGCCATGTGAATTCTGACCATAAAGAATATCCAAATAATCAATCCCTTTACACCCAGAGGAGTCTATTGCTTGGTGAATTTTCAAGAGTTTGTCCTCAGGTGCACCCTGGAGCACAATACCAACCTGGAGAGCATTCAGCAACGTCACCTTTATAGCCAGTTTCTTCCTCAAGCTCCCGCAGAGCAGCTGCTTCTGGGCTTTCGTTTTCATCTATGAGACCTGCAAGTGCAAATCATTTGCAAGTTGGGACAGGGAAATCCAATCTTCTTTGAACCTCTCGTTCTTCTAACATACTTGCTGCTGAGCTACATTAGAAAATCAGAGCACTGTGAAAATATTCTTATAGACAAAACTGACTGAGGCTTGAAACTTCTATAGAAAAAAAGGGCAAAAGGATAAAGCCCTAGGCAGGTTAAGCAGGTTCTGACAGGCATCGTGTGTTCCTCTTATTTAGATCGGGGATTTTTCGTGGCCATCTCAACACTGCTGTGTACAGCGCAGACAGCGTGTGGGAGGAAATCCTAAGTGACGCGGCGGTGGCCATCTGGCTTAGGTTTGGAGGTTGCTGTGTGACCACAGCACAGGAAAGCTTATACATTTTTTGTTTCCTTGTATATAAGATGGTGACAGTATTACCTATCTTGTCTTCCTCCCTCACAGAAAAATACTGAGACCATGTAGCAAAATGCTAGACAGGAACAACTGAGGGCTGGTGGATTTTAGGTGACTGCCCCCTGTGAGGACGAAATAAAGAGAGGCCAGTGTGAGAAGGTGGGCAACAACTCAGCCTTTTTCCTGAAAGGAGTTAAAAAAATGTAAAGAAAAAGTAGTTACTCTTAATATTATTAATTTCTTCAGTAAAATGGTAAGTAAATGATGCATTCTCCTGAGTGCTAGGTAAAAAAAAAAAAAGAAAAAAGAAAAAAAAAGAAAAAGAAATGGTAAGTAAATGAGACAAAATAATTGTTAACTATCTGTTGTCATGAACTTGGCTTTCAAAATACAAAACCAACAGCACTAATGACAAATGAGATTTAATCTCTCCAGATGGGGACAATCCAATAAAGTCCTACAATAATACAGGGAGCTAAATTCTGGACAGCTTTACTGGGCAATTGGAAAAAAAATATTCTTGTTCAGATAATGTCCTCAGCCTGTTTACATGGGGCAGGTCAAGCCGTCTTTTCCATTCATGGTTTTTAGAGTTAAGAGTCTGGCCTATTTGTTACTGTAAATTTCTTGTTAGGGGCAGATCACTGGTGACAGAAAATGAAGTAAGTTGACAAATTGGGGAAGAGCAATTAGTCAAAGAGAGGCTACAGAGCGTTGCCAAGGGGAGGGTGGGCCGGCACGGAAAGGGGGGCTCTGCTACTTACTGTGCCTTACCTCACCTACACGGGTTCGGGGGATCGCTGGGGCCTGGTGGCTGGGAAAAGACTCACTACAGAATGGTTTTGTTTTACTTACAACCACCCAAACAAATAAAAAGGTTTTAAAGACCTAAGCTTTGCAATTCTCACGCTTTGCCCTGGCTCAAGCCAAGGATCCCTGAGAAGCAATGTGATGTTATTACAGTCACTCACCTGCAGGGAACTCGAGGCAGTAGCCGCCCATCGGTGGTCGGAACTGTTTCACTAGAACAATGCACTCGTAATGAAGGGTTCTCTGCAGCACAGGGATGACCGCTACACCTGCCACCAGGAAACGAAACCAAGGAAATCCTCCGTGAAAGGCGAGCAATGCCAGCAGTATGCTTAGAGCAAGCTAACTAAAACCCCAGTTTTAAGAAACTCTGCATCCAAAATCTACCCTGTATTTGCCAGTAGCAGTAAGAAGTTAACTTCATCTACAATATCGGCAGTTAACCTTGGAAGCTATTCTCATTGAAAAACATAATTGAAAAAAATAATCACATTTCTATGTTGTTTGAACTTTCTTTTTTTTAAAATAAAAAGCTCATTTTAGTTGTCACAGTTTCTTAAAAATAAAATCAAAACTAAAACAAAACATTTCACACAAGGTTAAGGGCATAAAGTTTCAGTCTACACTAACCTTTACATGGAACCATTTCTTACCATGCAGCAGCTAGGCTGTTGGTGAAGTTACAATGATCTATGTGGTCTTGGATTTCCTTTAAGCAATAAATCAAATAAGTTCCACTGTTTGTAGTATATGCTACCTAGACTGAGTGGCTGTTTTAGGATCTCCCAAGTTACTGGGCCTCAATCAAAACAAAACAAAAAATGACTGGATTCTGGAAAACGCCAACCACCCAGGCGGAGCACTCAGCTCCTCCTAAAAGCTCTTCCATCAGTTAAGAACAGCAGCTGGAGCACAGCTACTCTGTTTGCTTCCAGTGAAAACAGAAACCAAAACAAAATGGAAAAATAAGAAAGACCTATTGCCCAACTTCCCCTAGACCAGAGGTGATTTTCAGGGTTGTTTCTGGGCTCTTTGCAGTCAAAGCATTCATGCCTGGAAGGGAAAGTGAACTGAATGAATAGTCTTTTCCCAATTCCATTTCCTTATCAACTTACAAAGCAAGTGGCCAACAAGCATAAAGATGTACCGAATAATTTTTCCAAACTAAAGGCTCTCACCTAGATCCTTTAAACAGAATACAAAGGATTTCTAGAAGTCATAACATATCTAGACACATTATGTGGCTTCAGAGTATACTGATTTATGTTTAGCTACAAACATGAGTACATCTTCCCCTCAAAAAACACTGTTCTGATAAAAAACAAAATGAAACAATACACAGTTCTAAACTTAGATAAATTGAGCCAGAAGTTATGCATAAAAAACGCTTGCTATAGTTATATAGCATTGCAAAAACGAATAGGAGACTTAAAGATAAAACATCATGATTGAAGATCATAACTCTGCTCTGAGGTCTTGGTTACATTAAAAACCCTCCTATAATCACGTGCTAACTTCCTTTCCAAAGAGTTCTAATAGGTTTGCACTCATACCATCAGCAGTCTGTCCCTTCCTGGTTGTGCGTTTCACTGTTTCCCAGGTTCTGTTCAGGCAGAGAAGAAAAAAGTCATTAGTGCAAAAGAGGAGAATTTTCTTAGGTTTTCTGAGTACAACCAGAACTCCTTAAATGCATGCAATGCATGCAAATGTACTAACGATCAACAAGACTACAACAATAAATATCTGCATGGAAAAAGCTACCTGTGCTCTCCTATAGCTTCTGAAAATTACCAAAGAAAACCATCACCCTAACTCTCTGGGTGCCAACTAAACAGAAGCCTGCAGAGCATTTGAGCTCTTCAGTTTGGATCAGAAGCCTGTGGGCAAGCAGCGCAGTTGGTGGTCACAGCTGTAAAGGCTATTAAGCAGGTGATGATGCAAATGAAGCCCATAGAATCCAAGCCCTATCTCTAAGAACAGAAGTTACTGTACACAGTGTGAACTATTGCCATAGTTATTTATATAATTTTGATTTTTAAAATATGTGACCTAAGACACACAATTTAAGAAAGTAGAACGTTTCCATTTATTAATCGAGGAATTATTAAATTTAGGTAAGTGCTCTACTTTGCATGTGTGAGATCTTATCTAAGGGGAAAACATAGTCCCTAGAGGAAAAAGTGAGGTGAATAACAGCAGATTCCTGCTCCCTTTTCTGGCTTTATTCCTGGTTAGCTATTTGTTTCTGACTGTTACCTAATTCAGTGTTTTGGTAACATCTGTGCTATTCTACTTCCTCTCCTAGGAACGATGGACAGAGCTGTATGGAAAATTCAGTTACTAAAACAATTATGCAGTTTAAAGGGAAAGGTCATAAAAGGAAAATTCCCTCTTCATCCTCTTGTCCCTACAACAGAAAAAGCAGAGTGAAGAGAGGGGAGTGGAGAAGCAATTTTAGGGTTGCTTCTAAAGGAAGTAAAGCATCTGGGTAACTCTGGGGATTGGGATAAAAAGGGGTCAACATCTGCATCCCAATAGGAAGAGTTATAGGACTATGACTCTGAGGAATCCTCTTGCTCACTCTTTTGTTCTAGTTGTCCCTAAAATTTGAACCTTGCTACATTTCTATAAAAAACTTTAGATATTTAATCTGGTTTGAAAAAAACAGAAAAAAAGAACTTTCTGTAAATTGTAGATCTTTCAGCACTGTACCCAAATTCTAAAGGGCAAATATGTCCAAATGAACCTAGGAAGATCAAACAGACTACTATGACAGCTTGCAGCAGCCCGGCATTCCTGTTAGTAGCAAGAAGCCAACCAACAAGCAATGCTGATGACAGTACAGACTGCAAGAGACAGAACACCTTTCGGCACAGCTCACTCTGCTCCCTCTTAAGGTTAGTCCTAAAGACTGAAGAAGAAAGAGCTGGGAAAAGAGCTGAAGGTCCCATCCCAAATACACTAGGAATAAGGGAAACAAAAAGAGTAGCATCATTAGAGTGGTTAAAGTAACTCAGCAGTAATGAGCCATAAAATATAAACGCATTTATGATATACTAGAACAAGAATGCCCCCTGCGAGCTCCGAAATCCTAAAGGGACTCTGAGAGATGTACAACTGACTTTCAGAAAATCTTATTCTCTGTCAAAGTGACGACCTCCTGGAGACTGTTTTCTCCTTTGTAAAACTTGGGAATGAGCATGTTATCTCCAAACCCTCTTCTAGCCTTAGAATTCTGCTTCCATTTAAATCACCCCATTCTGCAGTCTCCTTTGTTACAGGAAAGCCTGTTCCCTTCTTCCCTCTAGTTCACCAACTCAAGAGGCAGGAGGGGTAACAAAGGATGATGTCAGCATTATCTTGAAAGTTAACAAAGGGACAAGCTGCCAGCATATTTTTATGCTTCTAAAATTAATCCCATATCCTCTTCCATGAGTATGAGGGTGGAACAAAGGATTCTCTAGCTGCTGTTTATCCCCTACACTCAGCCCTCCGTACCTGTGGGTTGTGCATCTGTGGATTCAACCAATCGTGGGTCAAAAATATCTGGAAAAAAATTGTGTCTGCACTGAACACGTACAGACTTTTTCTTGTCACTTTTCCCCAAACGATACAGTATAACAACTGTTTATACAGCATTAGCCTTGTATTAGGTATTAGAAGTATCCACAGATGATTTCAAGTATATGGAAGGATGTACACAGGTTATATGCAAATATGCCATTTTATATCAGGGACATTAGCATCTGTGGATTTTGGTATCTGCAGGGAGTCATGGAACCAATCCCCATGGATACCGAAGGACGAATGTACAGGTTGAGTAGTTCTTATCTGAAATGCGTGGGACCACAAGTGTCTCAGATTTTGGACTTTTTTGGGTTTGGGAATAATTGCATTACTCTGTGGGTGTCATGTAGGCCTTTTTGACATTTCAACTACATTTTTACACCACGGAGCAAAGGATAAGCAAAAAGACACAGTGAGTACGGCATGTAGGTCTTGGTACCATGTGGGGCATGGTGGGAAACCTGCCTTTGACACACCTAGCCTGCTCGTGAGCCATTTTATTCCCCTGTGTGGGCACATCTACATGGGGGAGACTGGGCATGCGTGGAAAGGATGTATTGTAGCTGATGGGGGCTGGGAGGGTCCTTTTTCCCTTACGGACGCAGAATAAACTGTTGCATGCCTGTGTTTTGACTGTGACCCGTCACATGAGGTATGGAATTTTCCACTTGTGGCATCATGTGGGTGCTCAATAAGTTTGGGATTTTGAACCATTTTGAATTGTGGATTTTCAGTAGGAATACTCAACCTGTACATACATGCTCTTATATCAGGTAATAACACATTTGATAAATTTATAAATTATGGTGTATTGGAGAGTGCAGAGTTTTATTTTTCAAAGCTTGATATTCTGGTATAAAATATTAGTGCTTTACAGAAGACCTCTTCGAAGGCCAGGAGGAAGACGTAGGTATGGAAGGGTGGAGGTGAACATGCTGTAAACAGGCTGTATAAACATGGTAGTTTGGTAGACTTTAGAGCCCACTCCCGAACTGCTGAAACAGACTCTCTGGAAGTGAGACCTAGACCTGAGTATTCTGGAAAAAAACCACAAATGCTTCTGATGCACATCCCTGATTAAGAAATGCTACAAGGGAAGACAAGTCCAATGAAGAGATGAGCTGTGTGATTAACCAACACATATTCTTTAGACTAATTAAAGTTAAGGGCTATATTTTGTGTTATAAAACCAACTTTATAAGAAAAAGAGACCCAAACACTATCACCATAAACTGGGTTCCAATCTCTGTATCCATTTTTACAAATATTAATACATTTAAACGTACTTTGCTCACTAAGGCTTGGGCTTTGTCACATGTCTATATTGGGTTTGGCCTGTATCCCCTACTTACTCCCTATCAAACTCAAGTGACACTTCAAATAAGAGTTACAATCTTCTGCTGTGACTTGGATCACAGCATGCACAGCTTTGGGGTGGGTTTTATTTCATTTATTTATTTATTTTCTCTCATACTGGCAGGATCAACCAGCTTTTTTGGGTTTTAATTCAACAATACTATATACATCTGAATGTTTCCACAACACTCCAACATTGGGTTTTATTAAGGTTTTCGTTAGTTTAGTAAACACAATCAAAAGTTGTTTAGATTACTGGCAAGTCCATGTATTTTCACCTTGATGATAGATGTATTTCCTCACAAACCATGTACTCTGATCACTTAGCAAATGGAGTTTTTATATTAATGAATTTAAATCATGTAATCTAGACACTAAATTTAGTTATGTGTTCCTATTTTATCATTCTTTTTGTTCCCTTTAATATTTCACTAAGGAAACACTTAATATATTTTAACACATTACTTTTTTCTGATAGCTTATATTAAAATATTAGTAAACAAAAAATCTGGAAAAGAAAAAAGGTTAATCACACATAGCTTCCATTTTTTTTGCTATAATTTTCCTCCTAGCCTTTTCTTCCACATTATTTTACAGTATTTAAAAAGCATATATGCAATTTTCTATCTAGTTATCAACTTATTAACTTGTCCCATATTGCTAGGTTGTCATCATAACCTGATTTTACACTTGATGAGAAGCAATCATAATCTGTTTTTTAGATGGCTGCATAATTTTTACCAAGTGGATATACCATTTAACAGTTAGCTCCCTATTTTTAAGATGTTCAAGCTGCTTTCAATTTTTCTGTCTTTTAAATTTTTGATGAACATTTCTTATACATAAATCTAATGCCAAATAATAGATAATTTCTTTAACACATTATTAGAAGTGGGATTATTAGTTCTAAGTACAATATCTTCATGGCTATTGACACATATTGTAAAATACGCTTTACAAAAATGTGTTTTTTTCCAATTTACATTTCTATAAGCCATGTAAGTTTTACCTCAAAATCAGCAAAGTTTTCATTTTCTTTTTCATTCTTCTAATTTAGAGATTAAAAATTGCTTTTACTAGAAGAAAGCAACATGTACTATTATTCTTTCACCTTAACAGCTTAAATTAGGTTTGGCCTAAAAGTTTTAGGCCTGCACTAGTCTACCTAGGGAAAATGGTGTTAAAATAGGTTCCTGATTAGTTATTGTAACAAATTTACAACCCAGTTTTATTCAGAGGTTATAAATGATCCAAACAGTTTAATAATGGAAAAACAGCTAAATTAGATTCTTTATTTAAAATAGATTACAAAAAAGGAAAACGTTTATGTCAAACACTGAACAGAGACCCCGAGAACCCAAATACTGAACATTTTACAAGAGAAAAAAAAATGTTTACCTAGTTTTACCAGTAGGATCCATGTAAGTTGTTTTTTCAAGCTTGACCCATTTTCCTTCTGAAATTAACTAAAAGGATATCAGATAATAAGTTGGGAAACTTTCAAACCAAGTTGTTTTTTATCTAAAAGGGTTTTTTCCTTTCAAATTTTCTCTATGTAGCCCTCCCAATAATCATGTTTCCCTCCCAATAATTTGTGGGTAAGTTTTTAGTTCAGAGTAGGTACTCAAAGTTGTTTTTCTAAAGGGTAGTTCTGCTTCTTTTGGAGTTTTTGAGGTAGTACTAAAAGGTGAAAAGAAATGACAGTCCAAAAACTGGGGGGTGGGAGGGGCAGGGGTAATTGGAAGGGAGCTCCAGGGGTGAGGGGTTTTCCAGGTGCTCCTGATGTTCTGTCCCTTGATCTGGGTGTGAGCCACATAGGTGTCTTTAGTATGTAAAAATTCATCATTGTCATTTTACTGTCGGTGATCACACACTGGAAAAGCTGTGGGGAATCCAGGTCAATGACTGGATTTCCTATCAGATACGTGGGTTTCCCACCTAATCTGAGACGGGCATGCCGGGATTGTTCTGCCTAGACATTGAGGAGTTTCGGTTACCAGGACTAACTTACCTATGGCACTATACTGAACTGAGAGGAAAGTTTCACTGTGTACATAAAGCAGTAGCCTTTTTCTTACTATCCTATCTTTCACTTCTTGCCAGCAGCAACCTAATAATTATCAGAAGATCTGTTCACAGACAACATGGAAAGATTTTAAATCAAAAAGAATTCCAGAAAGGTGCCAAGATCAGAGTTCCAAGATGAAGGATTGGGCAACACAGTGAGACTCTGTCTCGAAAAAAAAAAAAAAAAAAATTTATCCATTGCAATGGTTCCTGCAAGAAGAGACTTTTAAAGCTAAATTGAATAACACGGAAGACACACATTGGTTCTAGAACTCACTGGAAGTTAGACTACAATTAACAACTTAGGTTTTTATTGCTCTTAAACATGTCAAGACCATAAACAGCTAAGATGTGATTAACTAAATATGAAATATTTAAGTCCTAAAATCCACATATAATTTATTCTTTTACTCAGGGAAAAAGGTTAAGAATTCTTCTGTTAAGAGAGCCAAAATCCACTTACAGTCTCAATTTCACTAATACATATAATCAAGAGGGACATACTACTGCCCCCACACAAGAGCAAAATGTGAGCCCAGAAAAGGGAGTAGGAAAAATCCCTAAAAACTGTCTTCAAGAATGAAAAACAATCATTGGAAACAACAAATAGTCTATATATTTCTTTTAAACTCGGATTTATGTGGGGAGGGGAAAGAAAAGTGCAAAGTAAGTTATACCTCCTCTGAAATAATAGACTGTTTGGTATTCTGAGAAGAATCCGTTGGTTCTTGGTTCTCCATTTTCAAACTAATTAGTTTTTACAGTCCTCAGGTGACAAGTTCACGCTGCAAGATAATGAGATTTGTTTAAGCTAAAATTATTTTTCTGAATTCAACATTTGTCTATAGTCCCCTAGTCAATACTTAAATGGCAAAAACAATTTTTTTTTAAGAGACGGAGTCTTGCTGTTGCCCAGGCTGGAATGCAGTGGTGTGATCATAGCTCACTGTAGTCTCAAACTCCTGGCCGTAGCCAATCCTCCTGCCTTAGCTTCCTGAGTAGCTGGGACTACAGGCCACTGGTATTAAATACATTTGCATTATTGTGTCCCATTTACTTTTAAGTTTCAACATGGATCAATGTCATAGTTGCACAGAGTTAACTAGTACTACAAGGTCTGTTATGAGAAGAGCAGGCCACTATCCCATTTGTTGTAAGCTACTAATTCCTATTTCTTGGTTTATTTCTTCATTTTTTGACTTTGTCTGAAAAATCTTTTTTTTCCCTACCCTTATAGTTGACTGATATTCTGGCTGCACACAGGATTATAGGCTGAAAACGATTTTCTGTTAGAAACCCGGAGGCACTGCTCAGTTGCCTTCTTCTGATGTTGCCGTTGAAGCTATTCTGATTCTTGATCCTTTTTCCATGTGGCCTTTTTCCTGCTCTGGAAGCTTGTATTGATAGCCATGTCTTCGGGTTGATGTTATTGTCACTGAGCACTCAACTGGGCCCTTTCAGTCTAGAAACTTCATACTTCCTTTGCATGGAACTTTCCTCCAATTGCTTCACTGGTAATTTCCTCCCCTCTATTTTCTCCATTCTCTCTTTTAAGGACATTATTGAGCTGTTGGACTTCCCTAATCGATCCTCTCTTATCTTTTTCACTCCTAATCTCCATTTCCTTATTATTAGCTACATTTCTCCATGGCTACTCTAACTCCTCACTACCTTTCTGTTCCCCAGTTCTCTGACTACCCCACCTCCTGACTCTAGCTTCAGAGAAAACACAGTCCAACAAGCATCCACTCTATTACCAACTGTCTTAGAGGAAAATGTCTTTGTTCTTTGTTTCTTCTGGGACCCAAAGTTATAATTATACTACCCTTCAAATCTTCAATTTTTATCCCAGACAGTAAGTTTCCCTATCCTAAAATACAATAAACAACAAAATAAACTATATTCATTAAATTAATTAAAACAAACTGTATTCATCAACTGCCTTAAAAAATCAAATACCAGATTGACCATCTCCAGGTAACCTGGCTAAACACCTTGTGGCAGACCTGTTAAAGGTTAGATGGGTGCTAGGACTGCCACACTGGGCAGAACGGCCAAAGGCCCTGCCCTTCTGGGTCTCACTTTCTAGTGGGGAGGAAGGGAGAAAAAGTGAGGAAATAGAATTTATGTCAGGTGACGCTAGGTAATAAGAAAGTCAGCCACATAGGTATTTAAATACTTAGAAACAGTCATTGATACCGAGAGCCCTATTAAGAGAACAAGCAGTTATTCCTTTGACGGTATTCCAGAGTATAATTTATTAAGTAAACTTTTATCTGGCATTGGCTGAGAGAGTTTATAGAGAAATATTATAGGCAATCAAAGTAGCATGCTGACCCAAATGAAAACTAACCAAAGATGGACAACCAGCATTCAACTACCTGTCTCTACCTGCATGCTCTACACCCAGATAAAAGAACTCCAGATTTTTATCTTCTAGATATCCATTCCCTTCTATCAATAACATATACATATGTTATTAACATATCAGAGGGAAAAAACAAAAAAAAACTTTTCCTTTAATTATAACACTTAAGAAAAAATAACTTCTAGGCAACCAAACAGCTCCATTTAGTGCACAAAATAATCTGTCTAGAATTGTACAAAATGCTTGGACTAAGTTAAATTTCTATCTCCTTTTTAAAAGTGACATTCTGACCCCAATTGGCTTTTCTGTGTATACCAGAACTTCAGAAAAGCAGGGAACTGCAGTTCTCTATAGTATAAACACTACCAGAAGATATTGGTAACCTCCACCTTTCTTTATAAAAAGAGTTCTTAACCTAGATTCCCAGAAACCCTAAACAAAAAGGTCATAGCACATAACACAGAAGAGCAGAGTGACACTCGGCTGATATTCACTCCGTGAATATCCTGATGGGAAAAGCACGTCAACTAGTCTAAAAAGCTTTAAGGCACTTAAGTTATGTGCTAGGACCCCATATGTATGTATCTTTATAGGTTCCCTCAGATTTTCAAAAGGATTGTTGATTGCCAAAGAGAGAAAGTGCTACAGGTATTCTGAAGGGTAGTTCCTCATCCACTACTCTTCATGTGACTGAGTTCAACTCAATTACAGAACGGTCCAAAGATCAATTGAAAGATCAATCCTCAGTGAGCACATTAAGCTTTAAAACAGGTTGTTTTAAAAATTTAAGCTAGAATGTTGGAGAAATAGGAAAAAGAGCTACGTAAATTTTTTTAGAAAGTGGCAGACAGGGCTGGTCCTCCCTAGGGCAGGCAATTCTCTGGAAGGCAATCAGTCCCAAAGGGAAACAGTGTTCTGCAGCAATCCACTGACAGCATAAATGACAAAAAATAAGTGATTTCAAAAGTATATTCTTTACTATGAGATTCCCAAAATGTTGCAGGAAGACTATAAAAGTATCTCAAAAATAGTACTGAAAGAGAAAAGGAATATTATTTTTAGCACCATTTCAAAAACAGAAGGCAAATGGTGCCATTTGGGGGGCTAGTCACTACAAGAAACCTGCTGCAGGAGGAAACAGATGAGGTTTAAATTCCATGCTTCATGCTGCACTGTCTCCACCACTGTGAGAGAGCGTTCCTAAAGTGACTCACTGCTATTTCAAGATTTTAAAGCAAAGTTTAATTTGAATTTTATCCACTTCATTCACTAGAATTAAGGTCTTCTACATATTGCCAATATGTGTATGTTAAAAAATACACATGTCCATGATGTTGCATGTTCTACAGTTTCACTCATGATTGTCCTCTGTCTCCAAAGTCACAAACTGTTTTAATTCACATAATCCATTTTAACTCAGTTCAGTTTGAACACCAAAGGTCTATGATGTGTCAGATGCATAATTTTCCAAGGTACAAAAACTCTAGGGAGGGGAAAATGTGACAAGATTCTCAGAGCTCTTGCACAGTGGTGGGCAGAAGTCTTTGCTAGCTTTGTGAGCATGGGCAATTGAAATGTCTGAGTATGTATGTACTCAGCACCAACCGACCTCTGTTCCTGCCCTCGAGCACCTTACAGTCTAGCAAGCAAATCAGAAGGGCGGAAAGCCTGCCACAGAGATAACACAGTAGTAGGATGTTTTAAAGGGGTGACAAATCACATCCACTTGGGAGGCAGTGAGGAAAATGATAAAGATTTTTAAAAGGTACTCTGATATTAAGATATGATTTGGAAACCAAGAAGGCAGGGAAGCATTCCAACTAGAAGGAACCACATTAACAAAGGCAGAGACACTAACTGGGGCAAGGTTGAGAAATTTCTAGTTTGGCAAGCTTTATGGTTCTTAACTTTTCCTTATACCCTCTTCTCCCACCCTCCCCTTTAAAAAAAACCCACATATAATGGATGACATTAACATCTGCAAACACATTTATTTCTAAAGGCAAACACCGACTGGGCTGGATCCCTGCTGCCTTCCCCCCAAATTTGCAGGTGAACAAAGCACACAACCCTAACTGGCATGCCACAGATTCCTGTTGCTATATAAGCTAGTTTTGGAGTTAGACAGCAAGTACAACCTCTATTTAAAAGGTAAGATAGTAAGTGATTAATTTTTCACAAAGTTGAGTATTTAGCAACAACAGCTAGAAAAGAGTTAACTGGAGTTAAGATTCAAGAAGTTAAATCAAAAACTCAAAAGCCAGGTTGCGGAATTTGTACTTAGGCTCATTATTCAATTATTACCATACCTGAATCCCCTGGAATCTGTTGAGGCTGCAAAGTGAAGCAAAAATCAAAACACAAATTATATGTTGGCTAGTCTCTCCTGATAAAAGCTGAGTATTTTAAACACAGCGATACTCAGCCAAATAAAAGATGTAGGAGCTCAACTCATAAGCAGAGCTTCTGATGGACAAGAGCGTGAGTTTCCATTAAACTTGGAACAGTTTAATAATTGAATAGAGAAATCAATAAGGCAGTTTGAAAGAAATTTAGTAGGGAGGGGATCAATTTCTTGCAGAAATAACTTACTTTATGATTGTGTTGTTAAAGTCAAGCATCAAATTAAGCACGTCTAAGATGCCATTCTGTAACAGAGGGAATGGCCTGGGGAAAAAACAGGCAAAAATATTTTCTGACTCTTTAAAACATCCTCCACTCTTTTTTTGAGAACTAAAGCCTGCATCCCTGCCTCAGGCCAGCGTTTGGAGAGGCAGGGTAAGTCTTTTCTTTATTTTTCTTTATTTGTGCAACAGGAGATGGCCCACCCTGGACCTGGTATAGGGAGGTCCTGGGCAGAGGTCACAAAATTGTCTTCAGTGGAGATGGGATGATCAGAATCAACTGTAGTTGAACAGTAATTGCCCTAAGCCGAGAACCCATCCTTGAAAAGCTCTGTATTTTTGCGAATGTTCAGGAAATGTGGATTTTGAGACGAGGTCTCAAAATTTTCCACCTTTGCTGGCAAAGTAATAAAACTTTTCTTTCCTCCTCCCCAAACCACTTGTTCTGATTTGGCCTCATGGACAAGTGGCCAATTTGGTAATAATTCTATGTTCTGTCAGGCTGATTACAAAGTAAAGCCACTTGATTTGTAAGGAACAAAGAATCAAATAATTTGTAGTTATATTTAATAATTTGTTATAATCATAAAACTTAAAAAAATTTTTTTTTTTTTTTTGAGACAGAGTCTCTCTCTGGCACCTGGGCTAGAGTGCCATGGCATCAGCCTAGCTCAACCTCAAACTCCTGGGCTCAAGCAATTCTCCTGCCTCAGCCTCCTGAGTAGCTGGGACCACAGGCGCACACCACCACGGCCGGCTAATTTTTTTTTTATATTTTTAGTAGAGATGGGATCTTACTCTTGCTCAGGCTAGTCTCGAACTCCTGAGCTCAAGCGATCTTCCCACCTCAGCCCCCCAGAGTGCTAGGATTACAGGCATGAGCCACCATGCCCAATCAAAAATTTCATTTTTAAAATATAATATTTTGATGGATCCTTTTGTACCATTTATGGTAAAATTTTGGTACCCACATCAAATGGATTCACTTAAGTGATCATTTCTTTGCTGACAGTTATCCTTAGATAATGAAGACTTCCTGTATTTGATTTGGTAATGATGGAAAGCCACTGAACATTTTGCATGGGTTTTCTTTTCTCTCTTCTGGCAGGTGTGGGGGTTGGGTGGGCAGGGAGGGAACTAAGATTTACTGAGATTATGCCACTTGGTGATTTACAGTAATCATTTACCAGGTGGTTTATAATCATCACATTAAATTCTGGTTGAGCAATAGTGAACTGAGTTGTAATGGCCCCTGGGAAGGTTAATTGGTTACAGCAGTACAGTAATGAGACTGGCAAAGAACTCCCTGTAATAGTCCAGGCAAGAGATAACACAGATTTGGAATAGGGTGGTAGCAGTGGCAAGTAAACATTTAATTCCTTGCAGATGAGAGTTTATTACTTGTCCTAAAACAGCTTCTAGGAAAGGGGTAAATCCAAGCTAATTCTAAGAAGATGGTTTTAAAGGAGATTGGGACATCAGGAAGCAGAGTTTTAGATGTTGGCAAAATATCCAAGAGGAGGAAACCATTATTAGATGGTTGGAATACTAATCTAGAAGGATTAGTCATGCTATGAACTCAGAGTAGGAAATGTGTTTTTTCACTACTTAATTTGGAATTGCACAATAACCCTCTTCCCCACTATCACTTGAATACTGACATTTTTCAGCATGCATGAGAAAAACAACTATTTCCACTGTTGCAAAAGTTTTATTGAAGAAATTTGATGAATACATTGCATAGCTAAGTAAAAGACAAACATGGTGGTTAAAATATAGTGAAAGCTAATTTAGCTGTCTCCTTTCAAAATACTTGAGCATCACCTGTTTGTAATGTCAAATTATTCAATGCTGGATAAATGTGTAACAAGTTACTTAAAACTGTAATACTAAAAAGTCACTGAACACACTTCCAAAGTAGATAGCCTGAATAAAAGCTAACTATACAAATTCCTTCCCTGTAGTGTCTATAAGTTTACGAACTTAGCTGCTTCTCTACAAATAACTGCAATTCCAATTTGCAACTGCCTCAACCTCCACACTCAAATGTTTTCTGGCCTGTGAAACTATTGCTCCTCCCAGAAGGACCATGTTCCCATGATCTATTTTCTCCCATACGGTTATTAATTCCTATCTTCAACAGAAAATACCTCACCCAAATGTACCTCGATCAATACTAACATTTCTTTCAGCTGCAACTTTTTTATTTCTACGTCAAATCAAAACAAAATTGGAGTGACCTCTCGTGTTCACCACTAAGTCTGTCTTAGATCTGTAATTGGCCCCATTCTACCAGCGTATATGGAATATTGCTGCTGCTTTCCTTCAAAACAGAAAGGATTGTGTAATCTTGGATCTAAGAAGTACATACTTATAAATGAAATACTACCGTCCCTATCCCAAAACACTGCAACATTATAATCTATTTACTACTTCTTTGAAAATGTATCCTTCAAAACAAGGCTCCCAACTAACTACTTAGCCAGTATCATTTTTTATAAAAACAAAAACAGTGTATATTCCTGGGGGGAAGAGTTTCTAATTCCAAATAAGCATAAGATTCAGTTTATTATCCTAATGAACAGCTTTCTAAAGAGGCCTGCAGTCGGTGGAGTTCTTATCTCTAATTTAAAACTGCTTAGGTGGACCAGTAAATATGTCCAGTTTTAAGGAGAGATCCAGAATGTGCGGCTTTTAGACATACGTGCCTGGGACAAGCCCAAGGCTTGTAATTCTAAGAAACACAACTCGACTTTAAAGGAGTTTCTCAGCAATCCGTGATTTTTCTTTCTTTCTTTTTTTTGAGACAGAGTCTCGCTCTGTTGCCCAGGCTAGAGTGTGGTGGCATCACTGTAGTTCACCGCAACCTCAAACTCCTGGGCTCAAGCGATCCTCCAGCCTCAGCCTCCTGAGTAGCTGGGACTACAGGCATGCGCCGCCACGCCCAGCTAATTTTTTCTATTTTTAGTACAGACGGCCTCGCTCCTGCTCAGGCTGGTCTGGAACTGCTGACCTCAAGCGATCCTCCAGCCTCTGCCTCCCAAAGAGCTAGGATTACAGGCGTGAGCCACTTGCACCTGGCCTCTCATTCTTTTAAAGAACCAAACAAAACTGAATTTTGTCGGGTGACAGGAAGGAATGGGAGTGGGGGGAAAAATGTTATTAAAAGTTCGATTAGAATTCTTCCAGTCTTATGACTCCATCACTGCAAGGATACTGATAAAAACCTGGCTTTATTTTAACAGGCTGATTAACTTTTGCGGGGCCGGACTAAATGCACTTGACGCTCAAAGGAGGCAACTCTTTCTCAAATTTACCTCCTCTCTTTTACCTCCAAAGTCGAACCCTCCTTCCCCAGGCTCGTACAGGCGGGATTCCTTCCCTCTGTCTCAAAACCCTCAACCGCAAACCGAGCATTCTACTCCTTTGCAGGTGTCTCTATGTTACACTCAAACTAACATTTAACTGTGGTGTTCCCCGCTTTCTTTACTCCCAGTAGCCCAGGCTCTTAGACCCCAATCCCTGGCTTTCCTCTCGCGCTTCCGCAGCGGTCGCCCCCTCGCTTGCCCAGACGCGATCCCAGCCGCACGCTGGGAGACACGCGCGCGGCTGCCCGCACTGCCCGCCCCATCCAGATGTACTCCCTCTCTCCTTCTCCCTCTCCTTCTCCCTCTCCCGCCCAAAGAGACCTCGTACGATGATTGGCCCGAGCCCAGTTACTTACTGGGGGTGAAGAAGGGAAGTGGGAGGAAAGAAAAAAAGGACAAATCCGAGGCTGCAGTCTCAGCAGATGCCAGCACCACGGCTGGAAACACCGGCGCCTCTCGCGGTGCTAGGACGATGTGCGCGCGCCCTCCCATCGGCACCCGTAGAACCCCCGCCTCTGACCTAGCTTGAGATAATTACCTTCCGGGTCAATATGCGTCTAGGGCGGAAAGGAGTCGTAAACTCGTTAAAATTCCTTTCTCAACACGGCCGCAGTTCCTCTTTCGAGACCAAAATTCTTTTTGTGTGCGTGCGTGCCAAGAATACTCCCCACTATTTTCCTTCTCCACTTCCTTTTCTCCTACGTCCTCCTTGCTTTATGGACCGGAAGAGTCCTTGAACGAAAATACCTCGGCAGGCACTTCCGGGACCAGAGCCCAGGGTTCCGGGAGAGTGCTGGCAGGAAAGGGAAAGACAGAGGCGGCGGCTGGAGGATGAAGAAGGAGCATGTGCTGCACTGTCAGTTCTCCGCGTGGTACCCGCTCTTCCGAAGCCTTACCATTAAGAGGTAAGATGGGAGGGGTTAGGCCAGGCTGACTGGCGAGAGGGAACTGCGACATGTGGGCGAATCCTATCTCCAAAAAACAGCAGGCCTTCTATCGACTGTATGGGAGCGACAGTGTCGAGACGTCTACTTCTTAATGGTATTCGAGGTAGGGCGGTTAATGAAGGAGGTCCGTGTTTGCTGTGCGGCCTGTTTCGAGCCAGGGAGGTGGGAGGATAGCTGGTTGTTCAGTGGGGGCGGTTGGAGGCGGGGTGAGTAGTGGATTAACCTAGTTTAGGCTTGGAAGTTCACCGTCACTACTTTTAGAATGGCCACGGGCGCAAGGTGATCTGGAGAACTGGGTGGTCTGGGCTTTGCCACTGGCTAGCCCACCGAGTGACCTAATTGCTTTCCTCCCCCCGCCCCAGGGAAGGGTGTGGGAGTTTGGGGGAGTTTTTGGTCAAAGGAGACATAATTACTATCAGCTAGGAGGAATAAATGCAAAGATCTCTTGTACAGCATGGTGACTGTAGTTAATGACGATGTAGGTATTGTATTCTTGAAAAAAACCCTGAGGGTGGATATTAATTGTTCACACCACAAAAATAATCATGTGAGGCAATGCATTTTGTTAATTAGCCAGATAAAACCATTCCACAATGTATATATACTTCAAAACATCAGGTACATGATAAATACATACAATTTTATCTGTCAATTTAAAAAATGTTGTGGATAGAAAATCTGGAGTTTGCTGTTACTGATTTTGTGCACTGACATTTCAATAACTGATGATTCATTATATAATTTTTTCATTCAATAAAAATCAGATACATACTTTACAAAATAAATTGTGTAGTTAGCTTCGAATTGTGGTAAGTTAAACTGCATAAGAAAAAATTTCAAGTTCTTAAATACTATTGGAATCTTTGGGAGAACCTTAGATTCACTGTACTTATCCTGTCATTTGTTAGCTTTATAAGAGTTAAGTATTTGGGAACGCTTGTTCGTAATCAGACAATAGACATTTAAAAATAAAATTGAATACATTTTTTTATAAATAGAGTTTAAACTTTTAAAAAGACTTTTAAATTCCAAAGGCTCACTTGAAATCGATTAAAATTTACTTAGATTTACAAACAGAATAAGATTTTTAGTTGAACTTAAGAGCCTGAGGAAGAACTAGGTTTTTGAATATGAGATTGTAACTTTGACAAATCAAATATTAATTTCTAAAACCAAAGTGGCCCATTAATAATCTTTTCTGTGCCCAAAAACCATTTGTAGTGTGCCAAAAAAATTTGTCCCATAAATAAACGAAGCATATTATAATTTGATGATGTTTTATTGACTCTGTAAAAGCAGGCTGTAACCTTTTTCACTTTTTAAAAATGTACACCTCAAGATCAAAATAGTAGCATTACTTTGCTATTATGTGTGGCATAATTAGGTATGCGTGGCAGGAATTTTTGAAGATTTATTATTACAGGGAAAAACACTAATTATCTCATAAGTTTTTAAGTGACTTCAAGTATGGCTTTGCCATCTTTAATTATGATTATCTGAAACGAATTAAGCTAAAGCATGCCCAGTTAAGCAGCTTCGTATCTGTTGATCAGCTGAAAGAATGCCACCAAAACACATCCAAACATATGAATTCTTAGCCTTAAGTGCTCATTGCCAACCAAAGATGAGTTTCCAGATCTTGAGTTACTTCTGCCCTCTGTCTTAGAAGATGGCCAAATGCTATTAATCTTCTGGTTTATTTTGCTGCTTTTTCTGTGTGGCAGCAAATATCTGCTGGTCTCTAATTTCTTAAAGACACAGAAACATTGTGCTCACTGAATTCTTTTGAGCTTGTCACTTTCATATTGTGATTTGCATCTGGTTCTTGGATTTAGCTGTTTTTTGTTCATTTCTTTCTTTGCCACAAAGACTTTTGTTGTAATTATGTAAACTGCAGTATTTATTCATATTATTCTAATTCCTTGTCTTCTTCTACCAAATGTACATCATTAACATTTTCCACTTCATATTGAAATAAAAAGAACAAATAATTCAAAAATTAATCTCGTGTGGCTAGGCAAGGTGGCTCACATCTGTAATTCTAGCAGTCTGGGAGGCAGAGGTGGAAGGATCACTTGAGCTCAGGAGACCAGTCTGAGCAAGAGCGAGACCGGTCTCCACTGAAAATAGGAAAATTAGCCAGGCATGGTGGTGCGTGCCTGTAGTTTCAGCTACTCCAGAGGCTGAGGCAGGAGGATGGCTTGAGCTCAGGAGTTTGAGGTTGCAGTGAGCTATGATGATGCCACTGCACTCTACCCTGAGCAACAGCAAGATTCTGTCCCCCCAAAAAAAAATGAATCAAGTGTGGAATTTTTTTCTCTCTGCTTATGGTTGTCCTTTAAAATGATGCCTTTTTTTGATATGTGGTTTTTTTTTTGTTTTTTTTTTTTTAGTGTCATTCTTCCACTTCCTCAGAATGTGAAGGATTATTTACTTGATGATGGAACTCTGGTGGTTTCAGGAAGGTAAAGTACCTTAAAAAAAATTCCTCAAACTTTATCATAAATGTGGTAATGATTAATCTCAACACTTACCATATAAAATGAATAAATGAGCTTAGGCACCATTCTCTCCCTTGAGCTTTTTTTCTTTCCTAGCTTAAAATTATGTGTTCATCTTTGTCTCATGTTTCTTGTCAGTGCTCAGTTAATATTTTCAAAATTAAGTACTTCCCCCTCTAATAATTACTATTGTGAAATTGAGCAGTTCCTTTCACCTCTGCCTTTAGGAAACGGATATGATGATAACTTTTCCTTCTGAAGGTAGCAGGGTTGGGGGAGGGCACATTAAAACCCTTTCAGATCCTTCAGTTTTTAAGATAAAAAATTCATTGTCCCTTGCAAAGAGAAAGCTTTACTAGGGTTTAACATTTAACTCCTCAATATTTTGTTCTTCACAGTTGACCTGCCATGGCCCCACCCACACCTTCTAGAAGCTGTTTAGGTAGTTCTCCTATTTGTCAAGGGAAGAAGTTATCATATTTCATTCTTGTTAGTGCAAACTTGGGAAGTTTAAGAATCATAGAATTTAGTGAAGTACAATTTTTTCATTCAAGTGTCTGCTCAGAAGTCATTTTATCTCAGTGTTTGTCCTTCACCATCCTTTCTCAAATAGCCTGCCAGTAACCCTTGCTGGTTTATCACTTTGTCCCCGACCTTCTTTTATTTTTCTGCATAGCACTTAATTCCACCTGACGTAAGTCTCTTAATTGTTTTATTGGAATGCAGCTTCATGAGAACAGGGCCTTGGCCAATTTGTTCACCCCAGCTCATGGAATGGTGCCTGATA